ACCACACTACACTACACTTCACTACACTACACCACACTCCACCACACTACACAACACTCCACTCCATTCCACTCCACTCCAGTCCACCACACTACACTACACTCCATCCACCACATTACACTCCACTACACTACATTGCTCTACACTACATTACACTACATTACACTACCCTCAACTGCACTATGCTACACTGCACCTACAACTACAACCACAACTACAACTACGCTACTTTACACTACACTACACTACACTACACTAGACTACACTACATAGCACCTCCGTACATTACATTACACCAGCTCCATTACACCGCCACAATTTAACTGCAAATACACTACGCTAACTACACTACACCGCAACTACAACTCCACTACGTTGCAACTACAGCTGCACTACACCACACTCAATCCAGCAGTTGTGGGTGAGGTGATCACTGCAACCATTACAACCACTCCAACAAACACAAACCCAACCACCTTTCGGTCAATCAGTGAATTCCCTCTGCCATCCGTGATTCACAACGACCAGCCTCTCCTATAGTTTTCCTATTCTAAAACTTCCGCCACCGCCGCGCGCGGTACTACTGGTATGATGGGGACATTAGAAAAAGAAACAGCGCCCAAACTTCATGGCTAGCATGTAGTCGTTGAGTCGTGGTCGTTGATTCATGGTCGCTGATTCGCCTATGTGGTCGCTGATCTGTGAAATGTGGTCGCTGATTCTGATTATGTGGTCGCTGATTCGTGGTCGCTGATTCTTGGTGACTGATTCGGAGGTCTGGTCTCTGATTCGGAGTTTTCTCCTAGCAAACACTATTAGTGTTTAACGGTGTTCGAGGAAAATGGCCTCAAACGGTTTCAAAATAGACTCAAAATGAACTCGGTAGTGCTCAATCGGTTTCATTTTGGAGAAGATCATTACATTTTGGGAAGCAACATGGCAAATAGTGCGCCTCAAATTGCCCCAATCTGGCTCTAATCAGGTACTTTTGGAAGAACACTATGCATGGGGAGACACATACAAAGTGAAACATATTTTACCAAGAGAAGCCATGGAACAAATAATGCCATTATTTTAGTCTATATTTTTATTACGAAATTGAATTGCATTTTATCAGGTACATTTAGAGGAAGACTGTGCATGGGGAGACACATACAAAGTGGAAAATGTTTTCCCAAAATTGGCAAAAAATCAATGCTAACCACCGGTTCTTGTGAGGGTAAAAGGTAAATGGTTGCATGCAGAAAACACGGCAACAAATTGCCATCTTCCCCAAACCAATTGGATTCAAATTGTTTTCCTTGTGCGTGGCTGCATGCAGCAATTCACATAGCAAGCCCGCCTGCTCTTAGTTAAGCAGGGATTGGTACCATCTGCTTAACAGATTGGTGCGCACCGCCCAAACCAAACTGGCTGAGTAATTCCCACGACAAATCAATGATGTTATCAGTTTTAACTAAAAGGATCTAAAATGTTTTGTATTCAAAATACAAAAAACGCGTTGCTCGTGGAAGTTTCAACTTCATGACTTAGATCCTAAATGGATAGATGCCCCATTGAGCCCATTGAGCCCCATCAAGCCGTAGTGATTTTCTGGCTAAATAACAATTTATGCATAATTCCCCAAGTCCCTAGATTTGACTACACAATGTATGCCTGAATTTCAGGTAACAACATTATGAACCATATTCTACATGAATTTGTTTAATATCTACCCTACCTAAACTACCCCCCCCTCCCCGCCCTCAAAATAATTTCCAAAATTATTTTGAGGGGGTTGATAGTGTCTTCGGTTGTTATACGAAACAACCCTCTTTAGGGTAAAATAATTTCTTACGATAGACCCCCCCCTCCCCTTCATCGACGGTGGTGAACCTTCGTAAAAATTATTTCAACCCCTGGGGAGTTAATTATTTTGCCCCCCTCCGGAGACTCCAATCTTTACATATGTATACTTTGGGACCCCCCCCTACCCGACATGATCGCCTTCGCAGGTGTACCGGGGATATTCCATCCCTTCAAGAAAAACGCGGGGATATCAACCAGGTTGTGGAATATGTTTAAAGAAAACATGTTGTTAAATAATTTTCCTAAGCAGTGGGCCTACGGATGTGCATATTGGAATATGCGAGTTATAATCTAAGCCTTCAATATACCCTAGAATAACTATGTGTTGAAATAATTTCATATAAATTTTAAATGGTTGAACAAAAAAAGATTAAAAAAATCCCCTTGGGGATTCCCGCAAAATGATGTTCAACCATCATCTTCATCACTGGCTCTTTCCTACATACTTCCCCACATTTCTCTCACATTCCCTTCATTTCCTTCCAAAGAACACTCGGTGGGAATGAGTGTGAAAGGGAAAGCATTCGGTGTTTATAGTTTTTTTCAGCTGGCAGCTGCTCACTTTGATTTTTGATGAGTGCAGGGTATCTCCAATACCCCTAGAATAATTTCTCCCCTTGGGAAATCCCACGGAATGGTATTCAACCTGACCTTTTCCTGTAGTGATTTTCCTAACCTGTCATATTTCCCATTATTTCTCCCATATTCCCTTCATTTCCCTCCAAAGAACTCATTTTTGGGAAGCGTTCGGTTTTGATAGGTTTTTCATGTTTTTCCAGTTTCTGGACGAGTTGGATGGTTCTGGCAGCTTCCCACTTTGATTTTTGAGGAGCGCAGGGTATCTCCAATACCCCTAAAATAATTTCTCCGCTTGGGAAATCCCACAAAATAGTATTCCTTTCCTGTAGTGATTTCCTCTTATTTCTCCCATATTCCCTTCATTTCCCTCCAAAGAACTCTTTTTTGGGAAGCGTTCGGTTTTGATAGATTGTTCAATTGTTTCCAGTTTATGGGCGAGTTGGATCGTTCTGGCAGCTGCTCATTTGAATTTTGGGAAGTGCAAGGCATCTCCAATACCCCTAGAATAATTTCTCCTCTTGGGAAATCGCACAAAATGGTATTCAACTTAGCTCTTTGCTATAGTGGTTTTTCTAGCCTTTCATGTTTTTCCCTCTTTCTCCCATATTCCCTTCATTTCCCTCCAAAGAACTCTTTTTTGGGAAGCGTTCGGTTTTGATAGGTTGTTCACTTGTTTCCAGTTTATGGGCGAGTTGGATGGTTCTGGCAGCTTCCCACTTTGATTTTTGAGGAATACAGGGCATCTCCAAGATCCTTTGAATAATTTCTTAAAGAACGAGTTTGGTTTCGAGTTGCAAGTTTTGATGCGTTCTTGCTGCAACTTAAAATTGAGGGGAGATTCTGACATGACTACCAGGGAGCACACATGAAACATGATGTTGAATTTATTTGTGTTGTAGGATTCGCAACGCATCAATCCAAACAAACAAAAAGCAACCTAAAAAAATAATAAGCCACTTTTGCAAGTCCAACATTGCGCAAGATGGGATATCGCATTGTTCTACATCGTTTCCTCCGAAAGTTACAACACTGCCATCACTGCGAAGAAGTACTGTGTGAACACAGCCTGCAGAAACTTGAGTGTACGACATTCCTTCATCCAAAGATGGAATATGCCATCGGATCAAAACAAGGTCAAACACCAAAATTATTTTGAAATATTTTTTTGCTGTGAGAGTGTTTTCGTCAAAATTATTTTGAGGGGGGGGTAACCCATCAAAATAATTTCCAACCAGAAATTATTTTGGTGATGGTTAGAGTCTATAAATCTATACATCCAACATGTTAGATTTTTGAAATTATTTTCAAAAAATTATTTTGGAGGGTAACCCCTCCCCTGAAATAATTTCATTAAGGTAGGAGGGATTGTTTAATAATAATTGTCTGTTGATTTGACAATAACACTGGTGATTTTGGCTACAAGCCACCACACACACAACAAATCATGTTTTTTCACCAATTTTACACAGTATAACGAGCCCCATTGAGCCCCCATTGAGCCCCATTGGGCCCCATTGAGCCCCATTGAGCCCCATTAAGCCGTAGTGATTTTCTGGCTAAGTAGCAATTCATACATAAATTCCCCAATTCCCCAGATTTGACTGTATAATGTATGCCTGAATCATTGATTTTCAGGTAACAAACAATAAGGGAAACACATACAAGATCGTGAATTCTCCTCCATAAAGCTCCGAAATGCTCCGAATTTGTTTTTGAGGCCTTCGGAAAAAGCTCTTCTCGAGGCAATTGAGAAGCTAGAGGCCCGATTGGCCAAGCCAGAGGCCGCCAGCTAGCTTAGATGCTGATCTGTCAAGCAGTGCTCTATTCTTTGCACCGATTGCCAATCTGTGCCCTCAATTCCTTAATGGTAGCCATTTGATATTGAACCAATTCCCTGGGGTATCTATCCATTTAGGATCTAAGTCATGAAGTTGAAACTTCCACGAGCAACGCGTTTTTTGTATTTTGAATACAAAACATTTTAGATCCTTTTAGTTAAAACTGATAACATCATTGATTTGTCGTGGGAATTACTCAGCCAGTTTGGTTCGGGCGGTGCGCACCAATCTGTTAAGCAGATGGTACCAATCCCTGCTTAACTAAGAGCAGGCGGGCTTGCTATGTGAATTGCTCCATGCAGCCATGCAGAAGGAACACAATTTGAATCCAATTGGTTTGGGGAAGATGGCAAGTTATTGCCGTCTTTTCTGCATGCAATCATGTAAATTTACCCTCACAAGAATTTGCAATGGCAGCTCTTTTAACTGTTAGGGCCAAAGGTGCACCTTCATGTGCGGGCTCATGTGACTGTTCCACATGGCATGTGAAAATGGACATGTAGAGATACCCAAAAGTCGAGTCTGCTCATCGTGTTATCGTGCTGCTTGGTGTTCTCAGATGCGCTGGTAGTGCATCAGGTAGTTCTGGATTCTTCCAGATCGTTCATGAGGCAGCAAGCTTGGGTCTTTCCTGGCTGTCAATCTCGAAAGGCGGAATCCATGCAAACCTTCCAGTGATCGAAACTGGAGTTGTTCTTGTCCTTCTTGCAGGATGAAATAGTTCTCTCCGCGCACTCAGATTGTCAGTACTGCTTCATCTCCTTCTTGTCCCGCCAACGGATGGTAGGGAGCATGCTCGCTGTAGAGCATGTCGATGGTTGCCGAAGGAATTCTCCCATCGTTGAAGTACTGCTGCACATAGGTGTGAATCGCCACCTGTAGGTTGTTGCCCTGGATGGTGAGATGGTGTGTCAGATGTTCTTGTCGAGCTCGAGCATGTGCTTGTTGAGTTCGTCGTTCATACTCGGTCTGGTCATGGATGAAATCATCCAGAGAAGGATCATCTGCGTGGTCGTACTCCTCCTCAAAGTCTTCGCTCTCTGGCCCTTCTCGGTCTCCATCTCGTGATCTCGAGGCATCACTTCTAAAGGGTCGTTCTCTCGGTGACTCAGGTTCAGGTTGAGGTGATGTCACTCCAGCGTCTCTTTCTCCATCTGGTTCTTCGGCTCCAGGTCGTGGATCTTGAAGACGTAGACGTTGTCGTGCAGGTTCTTCAGGATGTGGTGAAGCGTGTCGAACTGCTCGGAAAAGTATTTCCAAGTCGCCACGGCTGTCGGCAGACTGTCTTCTCAAAGCATCTAATTCCACTGTCACTTCTCCATGATGACATTCCAAGTCGATCACCCTCTCGACGATCGGCATGATAGTTCTGTTGGTGTGCTCTTCTAAAAGAGTCTTCATGGCCAACAGTCGCCTCCAAAAATGCCATAGTGCTCCACATAGGCAGAAAATCGCCACCAAACTGACTGACAAAATGGTGACCTGTACGTATTGCCGGTCTTGTGAAACTGGTCCTCCTCCAAAGTCGTCGGCGCTGCATTGCGCCTGGTCAGAGATCTTGTTCGGCTGTGCTCGGCTGATCACGTTGGCGAAGCACAGGAAATTCAGCAGCCAAAAATTGGCCTTGGTGTTCCACCCAGTTGATGTCGTCCAGGTACTTTGTGATGTGGTGTAGAGCTGGATGGCCTGGAGGTCCTTGGCAGTCATGTAGGACTCAAGCCACTTGTCATCTCCCAGCTCCAAATCATCTTCTGTGAAGTCTTTGATCTTGGGAAGCCGTCGGGCTTCGATTGCATGGCCAGGCTCGTTGGCAAAGTTCACCTGTCCAGTGCTCATCAAAGAGAGTAGAGGTCGTGAGATCATCACCTTGGTCAATGGGTCGCTCGTCATTGACTGTGTTGGGATGAGTATCATCCATCTAATGCGTCCTTGAATTCTGGCTTCTCGGATCGCAAGGATGTAGATGCGTTGGCTTTTGTCTTGAGGTAAGGCTGTCGAGCCCACTGTCAGCGACCAAAAGTCTCGGCAGTCTGTGTAGGAGTCCACAGGCAAGTAGGGAATGCCAGATTTCTGCAATGCTGCCAGCTGTTGAAGTGTGGGCTTCTTCTCAGGCATCAAGAGTTCTGCTAAACGTAAGCTAACCAGAGTCGCAGTCTCCAAACCGGAGATAGCAGCCAAAGTCTCAGAGTGGCTTGTGGGGTATGATACCCTTTTGGCCTTTGAGCCATGAGAGAACAGTATGTGTGCTGTTCCTCCAAAGATCTGCTCCTCCACATTCTCGCCGTTGATGGTGTGAACCTTCGGGTCAAACTTCATGTTGTCGGGTGCTAGCAGGATCAGCACTCCTTCTTGGGCATATGTGCGCCCCTTGGACGCGGCAGAGGCATCATGGATGCACAAAAGTTTCCAAGGAACGTCCTTTGGGAACTTCTTGTAGATCAGGCCCAGGTTCTCGTACTGCTTGAGCTTGGCTTTGCGAACCACTGCATTGGCTTGTAGGAAGTCATTCACAGTGGCCTTGGTGACCTTGGACTGAAGGATGCCCACGTCGGCTATCGGGTCCAAACGTGTGGCCGTAAGCCAAAGCAAACCACCAAGTATGCTGCGGAACTTTGTTGTTTCAGCAGCAGTCAAAGGTCTGTTGCCGTCCTTGGTGTTCTCGATGTCCTGGGTCTTCAGGGCGTTGACAAACGCTTGTTGATCCATCTTGTACCCGTTGGGAATTTTGGTGTATTGACATCCACAATGGGTGAATGGAGTCATCTGCAAAGAGATCTTGCCGAAGGCTTTGGTCATCAGCTTGAACTGCTCGTCCAGGAAGGTCTGGCGGCATGTGATGGCAAGGTCGTCCACATGGGTCGTGATGACACCTTTGATGGATCCGTCAGGATTCTTGTAGTGCCACAGGCAATCGTCCAGCAGTGATTGAGTACCTCCATTCTCCTCCAGAAACTGGTGTAAAGTCATCTGCCAAGCCAAAGTTGCATCCACCAGGCCATACGCAGGTTTGAGGCATTCCAAACCATAGGCGCCATGGAGCTCTTCAGGGACGTTGAAAGACGGGTCAAAGGAAGACAAATGTCTCCAGACATTTGGAGGTGGTACTATCACCACTCGGCGAGGCGGTGATGCCAAGCCCTTTTGTGCCAGTATCTGGCGGATCTTCTCAGATGTCAGCCCTTTCAGAAAAGCTCCAGAAACGTCCAGCGAGGCCAAGACAAAGTCATGTGTGGATGCCACACTGAGGATGAGGCGTTGAGAAAGTCTTGTGGCTGTGGTTGAACGTGTTGGCAACTCCTGCTTTTGTGGGTCTAAGAAACCCCGAGCGCAAAGTCTGCTCTTGGCCTTCATCTTGCCGCAGGGCATGCGCTTGTACTTCCGTACCCAAGTTGCGTCCACCACCACAACTTCATCTGGTAAATCTGCCAGAGAAACTTTTCTAAAGACCTTCTCATTCACAAACTGTTCCAGCTCCTGGTGGTCGGAGTTCTCAAAATCCTGCCAATTGTTGATCAATTGATCTTCTGTCAGCGTGTCAGTGTCAGAGTCAACTCTGAAGATCTGGCCATCTTTGAGGTCGATGTTGAGGTAGGCTTCAGTCTTGCAATGCAAGTGAAGCAAGTAGTTGGTCTTGTTCACCTTGATGTCCGGTGCAGCTTTCTTCTGTATCCATCTGTCATCGAGCTCGTACCAAATTGGTGTTGGCTCCAGGTTGATCTTTCTTGATCGCTGCATCATCCACCAGATTGATCGTTGGTGTAGAAGTTCCGTTGAAGTCCACAGGATCTTCTGCTTCTTCTTCTCGGGAGCGATGACAACTGTCCTCGTCTCTGGGTCTTTTCTTTTGTGGTCATACGAAACTTCCATCTCACCATCATCAGGCAGTTGATCTTGTCCAGGAGTCTGAAGAGGTTTTCTTCGGGTGATTCTTGCAGGCATGGTTGAGTCCTCCTGGTTGTACTTGACATAGCCATAGAGGTAGATGTGGCAAAGGTCTTCAATGTTGTGTTTGAGGTATTCTTTGATGTGGATGTGAGAGTCGTTGGGGTTTTCAATCAATGAAAATTCAAGTGTGCCAAATGGCCAAGTGATCAAGATGCCTTTGGAAAATCTTGGTGTTGAGATAGTTTTCATTCCTCTTCCAAAGCGGATGCCATGTAGTGTGAAATGCTCGAAGTGGTACTCCATGAGAGTTTTGGCATCTCGTAGCATCTGGTCGCCAGATGGGCTGTCGTTCTTGGGGAACTTGACCATCTTCCAGTCGCCCTTGTCTTCCGTCAAGATCTCGCCAATGGTGAATGGCCGAAAAGGCGAACACTCTTCCACCACATGTTTCATCCTCTTCACTGCCTTCTCCACATCAGCTGATGTCAGAGAGCTGTTCTCATTGAGGTAGATGAGGAAGGAATCTCGTAGTGGTCGAATGTGCCTCAGGCTCATCAAGTAGGGTTTGCCCTGGAACTCCACGATGGCGTTGCCAGCTTCTTCATGAACTTTCAGCAAGACGGCTGGTCCTCTCCATCCTTGTCCAGAGCCATCTTCACGGTAGATCTCAATGGAAGTAGTGCCAGGGACCATATCTTCCAAAGCAAGGCGATGAGGTCTTGAGCGATTTGCCCGTGCAATACGGGATTCCAGTATGGCTCCTTGTGCAGCTTGTAGTGCAATCTGCCTCAGTCGTAGTGATCGTTCAAAGCTGCTTTCTGCAGTGATGTCTCCAGGTGGTTGTTCTGCATCAGGTTCAAGGAAACCACGTGGAAGAACTCCAAAGAGTAGTATGGACGGGGTATACCCTCCAACGCTCATGGTCAAGTTTTGTGACATAGCTGCTTCTGCAGCCAATTCTTCCATCTCCAACTCGATGCCATAGCGTCCACTTTCGGCCTGAATCTTCAGCATGGACATCTTCACCAGGTCGATGTGGCGCTCGACCAAACCGGTCGTGGTGTGCATCTGACCTTGCTTCTTGGTCGTTGTACCAGCAGGTCTTCTCTCGATTCCAAGTCGTTGGAACTCCTCTCCAGCTTCGATGGTCATCAGTGCTGATTCTTGATCAGTGACGAAAACCTTCATTGGACCAAAATAGCGAATCCAGCATTTCATCAAAGTTCCCAGGGGATCTTTGAGATATCTCCCAGGGCAGGATGTCGCCACCTTGTATCTCGTGGCTTCGTCAATCACCAGCATGAAAAGATGGTCTTGAAATTGAAAAACATCCATCTGGACCAAGTCGTTGAAGCTTGGAGAAAGATGAGCTCCTCGATGTTGGGGACGTCGTCCTGCTCGAGAGTACTTGCGACAAACAGCGCAAGATGCCACAGCTTCAGCTGCCAGTTGTACAACTTCCCATGGTTGTCCACATCTTTGGAGGATGTTTCGAACATCTCCAACTGGAGCATGCCATAGTCGTTCATGTAGACCAACAATGAGTCGTTTCGCCTGTATGGGGTCAGAAGACGCCAGGCGAGGCAGCTTGTGGAAGATCCTCCGAAAGTCATACAGAGGTTTGAGTGAACCAGGTCGCACTGCTACTTGTCCTGGTTCTTCGCTGTCGCATTCAGGAGGAGGTAGTTGTGCAAGTTCTCCATCTTGAGTTTCATCATCATCTTGTGCTGGTTGAGCGGGAACCAATGCTGAAGATGAGCTGGCTGTCTTGGTGGATTCAGGGTCACTTCCAAAGACAGCTACCAACCAATCTTCTTCAAGGTCAATTGGTTCGTGCCACTGACTGGCACTCATTTCTCGCAAGTCCTCAATCTTTCCAATGGACCGTTTTTCTGCAGAGCCTTTGATGATCAATCGCAAAGGAGCTTCCTCAGCAGTGAGGTATGGAGACGGTGTTGGAAGACTCCAAGGTTGTAGGCATGAAAGAGCTCCCTTCACATCCATGTAGTCGACAAAGATCTTGCGCAACCATCCAAGAGCAACAGGATCTTGTAGCCATTGAGCTTCAGGAAGATCCTTCTTCTCCTTGTCAGCCTCCTCATAGCCCTTGATGGACTCGTCCAAGAGCTTCACCATGATCATCTTGAAGATTGAAGCTTGCTCGTTGTTGAAGGCAATATCGGAGTGAATGGACAGCTTGCCCTTTTGGATCTTGTCGTTCTTCATGGACTCTTTGCGAAAGAGATCGAACAGGTCTTCCTGCTCTTTCTGCTCCTTCTCGGCTTTCTTTCTCTCTCTCTCTGGGATTTTCTCCTTCAGGCCAGCGTCCATGGCGGCATTCACCAGGCACAAAAGAGTGCACAAGATCATCAGTGGCGGCTCTTCCAAGGGCACAGCGCTCACACTTGTAGTAGTCATTGTAGACTGTGGACTTGTTGCTGATGAAGCGCTTGATGTCCTTCACAATGGCTTTCCGACTCAGGGTAGACTGCAGCAGCTGTAGTGCGATTGACACCTTGTACTGCTCCTTGAAGCCAGCCATGTTTCTGACCTAAATGGCCAGTGCACCGCTTGACACAGTGCTTCAAAGCAAGGTTGCTCTGCAATCCAGTTGGTTTCAAAATTGGATTGCCAACTTCATCTTGTGCGCCAAAACGGCATTGATCTGTGCGATCTGCATGGCCGGGGTTTTCTTGAAGTCTTTCCCACATCGCTGAGGACCATGGCTGTTCCCATATGTAGCCCTTCTTTTTCTGGCATTGTTGTTTGGCCTTCTTCTTGAGGTAGTTGATCACAGGCATTTCTTCCTCTCGTTCTTGTTGAGTTTGTTGTAGATCTCGTCGAACTGATGAGATACTCCATGGCCTGCAACTTGGACTCATGAAGTCAACGTCAGGCTGGAAGGTCTCTTCAATCTCATCGATGAGTCGCCTGTGAGCAGGGCTTCCAAGATCCCAGCCATATCGGTAGTCCAGCGGGAACATCACCGACAGTCCTGCGCAAAGTGCGAGGAAGGACAAACGGCCAGAGCCGCTACACATCTCCCACAAGTGAAAGTGGGCACCTCTTCTCTTCTTTGCCCATGACCTTGCATTTCTCGGTGTCACAGGTGTTCGCTGAGTCTTTGTGTAGAACTCTTCAGGGATCGCTTTGTAGAGCTTGCTCAGGTATCGGAGTTTGCTGGGTTTCAGGTGTGCCGGAAATTGATCGCCTCCGTAGGGCTGTGGAGCTTCGTTGTACTCCTCTTCCAAGTTGTCTGATTTCAGGACCTGGATCTCAGGCTCGTCATCAGCCACTTTGATCATTTCCATCTTGTTGTTGAACTTGTCATTCTTGGGCTCAGTGTCAGCTGCAAACTGCAGCTTGGGGTTCTCCGCATTGGAGTCAGGGACATTCTCAGTGTCGGCAACGTCGATGGACTTGATGTCGTAGTTGCCAGAGTTGTCATTCAAGTCGGACTGCTCACGTGCTACCGTGTGCTTGGAACTTCTTCCTTTCCACCAAGCAAGGATTTCCTTCTGCTCGTTGAGCGACATGTCCTGGTCTTCCTTGTTGACGGGAAGGATATAGTGTCCAGACTCGGCAAGCAGGAGCTTCATTGCCACAAGGTTCGCAGCAGGGTCATCAGGTCGATGTCCATTCAGGCTGCAAATCATCACTCCATCTCCATTGTCATACCATTGTGTCGTCATCGTAGTTCGAAGTTGGCGAAGGCTTCCATTTGGAAGAAGTGCAGGGCAGTTACTGCCGTCACCACCAATGATGTCAGCTGTGTACTCTGCATCTTCAGCGCCAATGCCAAAGGGAATGGAGATCCTGGCACTTGTTTGGTCTGACTGACCTGAGATGCCAGTGACTGTTGTTTGTGCTGCTCCCCAAGTGATCTCGTTGGCCTTCTCAGGGGGCACCATTCCAGAGTCAAACAGGTCGCGAAGTGTCTCGCTTCCAATCAGGCCTGAACTGGCCCCAGGGTCCACCAAAAGTCCTCGAACTCGTCGTCCTCGAACTTGATGGAAAACCATTTCACCAACTTCTTCGGTCACTGGGAAGTTCAGCTTCTTTGCTGTGGTGTCATCAGCTTGATCACCTTCTGGTGCATCACTGAACCGCACACGCCTTGTTGGCAGCGGCTCCACTTCGTTGAAGGTGTCCCGAATGATGACCTTGTCCAGCTTGTCGGCATCCTCCTTCTCAGGTGAGCTGATGTTGCTCAGCAGGTAGGCACCACCGTAGTAGTCATTGAAGTTCTTGGGCATGTCTTCAAGCCAAAAGCCTTTGCGTCCTTGTCGGTTGCCATAGCCACCTTTGCCATAGGACTTGCTTTTGCCGAAGCCTTTCTTGCCATAGGACTTTCCTCCATAGGGTCTGCCACCATAGGATTTTCCTTTGCCTTTTCCATATCCTTTGGACTTGCCTTTGCCCTTCATCGGCGTCTTGCCCTTGTAGGTGTCGTTCATGGGGCACGCATGAGTGTTGTGCCACTTTGATCCACAGGTGCTGCAACCCAGTCCCATGGTGGGAGTACGGCCTTTGCCCTTGTAGTAGTCCTTGGACTCCTCTGCATTGCCATCTTGTTGAACTTCTCCATCTTCTGCAGCAGGGGCTTCATCATCGTTCCATCCATAGTCGTAGTCAGGCCACTCCTCATAGTAGGTCTCGGCATAGTCGTAGTCCCAAGGTTGTGGTTGGCTGTACCAGCCATCATCTTCGTACCAGGCGTAGAGCTCGTCCATGTAGTAGTTGGACCCATCGGCATCAGAAGACCACATGTCGGTCACCGCACTCCAGCTCGAGGCATCGTCCGTGGTGATCTCCTCATAGTGGGCCGCATTGGAACCAGAGTCGATGTTCCTGTGGGCCATGCGCAACATCAATGTGCGCACTTCTTCAAAGCGCCGCATGTCTCCGTGTACCTGCAAAAGCAGGTCATCCAGGGACTTCTGATTGAGTCCAGAGCTCTTGAAGTACAGGTACGTCTTGGCAACGTTGTTCAACTCCAAGCCGCTGTGGGTCATCGCTTCATCCAGGTTCAACTGCCACTGGACGCTCCATTCAGGAAGCGTCATCCTCTGTCGCTTGAACTCGAAGAAGGTCTCAAGCGCTCTGGTGGCTTGTAGTTGATCTGCTTCTCCAAAGGCTGCCCTCAAAGCGGACATGAGGGCTTGCACGCCCGATGGGATCGCCTGCTGGATGATGATGCCACTGCTTGGATCTCGAACCTCGTCGACACATACTCACACAAGTGCAGCGTCGCCAGTGTCGATGTGGCCGTTGGGGTCTGGCAACCTCAGTCCCAAAGCTATCTGTTGGGCACGGCCTCTTAGCCTGCCGGCTAACAGTGGGCCGACTGATTCGTCAGCTCTTTCATATACTCGGTACCATAGTCTGACTCGCTCCATGTAGAGCTTCAGCGGGTAGTTCACCAAGTTGGGCTCCCATCCTGGCGGTATGTCTTTCCGGTATTCCTCTAAGGGAACTCCGCCAGCTTGACCAGGTGCCGTAGACATCCTTTGCGGTCGTCACCTCCAGGTTGTCCAGAAGCACAGCAGCCAGCCAAAGATCTCGTAGTGCTCGTGGTGCAAATGGCGTAGGCACAGAGGCGGTTGAAAGGAAACAACGTGGGGCTGGAGCCTGTCAGCTCCGCTACCAAATTTGCAATGGCAGCCCTTTTAACTGTTAGGGCCAAAGGTGCACCTTCATGTGCGGGCTCATGTGACTGTTCCACATGGCATGTGAAAATGGACATGTAGAGATACCCAAAAGTCGAGTCAAGAATATGTGGTTAGCATTGATTGTTTGCCAATCACCGAACTGGAAATAATTCTATGTGGAATTGTCCACAACTGTTTGACACATTGCGGTCCCAACTTCATTTGTTCGCAACATACTGATTATTTTTTGGTTGTTTATGGTGTTTCCGAAGTTCAAGCAAACAACTATATTTTTATTGGGGTGAATTCCATTTGATCCTCTTTAAGCCCGTTTGAGCCCCAATGAGCCCCTTTGAGGCCCCTCAATTGGGTTTAATTGGGTTTAATTCGGTTTAATTGGTATTCATGAAATTTTGACAGTATATTAACACTTGTGCCCCTCAAACAGTTTCAAACGGGTATCGGTATTTGTCGGGTCGGTTTTACCCCCCCCGAACTCATCTATGATATTTGGCACAAGTCTACAAACCTCCAAAGCCTGTCAGAAGCTTTCTTCTCGCTGCTTAGCAATGCATGTTGCATCATGCATATCATCCTCCTAGGAATTACGAGGCCCCGTTTTATAAGTATAAAAAGGGTGGGGCCAACATGGGTCTCGGTAAAAAATCAAAGGCAAAGGGCTTCCCTTAAAACCTTGAAAGATGAATTGGATACCAGTGCATTTATATAATATAGAATAATATATATATATAAGGTACCCCGCCCACTTAGAATATGGAATTGAAATTTTGGTTCCCAGGGCATCCCCATAATTGAACTTGAAACAGGATACTTAGAATACAGTTGACGTCTAAAAACCTATACTTAGAATATCGTTGGGCCATATAAATTCTTTCACTTTTCCAGACGAATTCGTCATTTTTCCATAGAAATTCTTCACTTTTCTTTATAAATCCTTCACGTTTCCATACAAATTCTTCACTTTTCCATATTTTTGCCATACAAATTCTTTCACTTGTTCAGTCAAATTCATCATTTTTCCATATATATATATTTCTTAATAAATCCCTCACATTTCTATACAAATTCTTCACTTCTCCATATTTTTTCCATATAAATTCTTTCATGTTTCCAGACAAATTCATTATTTTTCCATATAAATTCTTCACTTTCCTAAAACAATTCTGCACGTTTCCAGCGAAAATAGTTAACCATCTTTTTAGGAACACCAACTAATTCCATCAGTTTTCATTGCAAACTAGTTTTTTTTCATAGTTCTACGACGCCGGTCGTGGGGGGTACCCCTCGGTGAGCTTGAAAAATTCATTTTTTTAATACAATATGAAAAGAAATTGATCATTTCGGGGGACCCGTTTTTTTTGTTGAAACGTTCTAGTTTACGGACTTCAGACATCCAGGATTGCTGCTCCCCAAAGGGAATTACGTATATAATAATCATACATGAAGGGGACCCTATTCCTTGCAGAACTACATACATAGAATATAGGTCCCCAGTGAAAATATTCATCAATTTTTTTAGGAACGCCACCTAAGTCCATTGGTTTTCATTGCAAAATAGTTTTTTTCATAGTTCTACGACGCCGGTCGTGGGGGGTACCCCTCGGTGAGCCTGAAAAATTCATTTTTTTAAATACAATATGAAAAGAAATTGATCATTTCGGTGGACTTTCTTTCGTTTGTTGAAACGTTCTAGTTCACGGACTTCAGACATCCAGAATTACGTATTTAATAAAGGGGACCCTATTCCTTGCAGAACTACATACATAGAAAATAGGTCCCCAGTGAAAATATTCATCATTTCTTCAAGGAATGCCACCTAATTTCATTGGTTTTCATTGCAAAATAGTTTTTTTCATAGTTCTACGAGGCCGGTCGTGGGGGGGTACCCTTCGGTGAGCTTGAAAAAATCATTTTTTTAAATACAATATAAAAAGAAATTGATCATTTCGGGGACCTGTTTTTTTGTTGAAACGTTCTATTTTAGGAACTTCAAACATCCAGGGTTGCTACTCCCCAAAGGGAATTACGTATATCACATACACCCTTCTGTATGGAAGAGACCAAATTCCTTTCAGAACTACATATAATACATAGAATATAGGTCCCCGGTGAAAATATTCATTCATTTTATTGGTGTTCATTGCAAAAATATGTTTTTTTGTCATAGTTCACCAACACCGGTCGTGGGGGATACCCTTCGGTGAGCTTGAAAAACTCATTTTTTTAATACAATATGAAAAAAAAACATTTCGGAGGACCTGTTTCTTGTTGAAACGTTCTAGTTTAGGAACTTCAGACATCCAGGGGTGCTACTCCCCAAAGGGAATTACGTATATGATATATATTGATATATACCCTTATACTTTTACATGGAAGAGACCCAATTCCATGCAGAACTACATACATAGAATATAGGTCCCCAATGAAAATAGTTAACCGTTAACCATTCTTTTGGGAACACCAACTAATTCCAGCAGTTTTCATTGCAAACTATTTTTTTTCCATAGTTCTCCGACACCGTTCGTGGGGGGTACCCTTCGGTGAGCTTAAAAAACTCATTTTTTTTATTCAATATAAAAAAAAGATCATTTCGGGGGACCTGTTTTTTTGTTGAAACGTTCCAGTTTAGGAACTTCAGACATCCAGGATTGCTGCTCCCCAAAGGGAATTATGTATATGATAATTATATGACCCTATACATGGAAAAGATCAAATTCCTTGCAGAACTACATACATAGAAAATAGGTCCCCAGTGAAAATATTCATCCATTTTTTCAGGAACACCACCGAATTCCATTAGTTTTCATTGCAAAATATTTTTTTCTTTCATAGTTCCTCGACACCGGTCAAGGTGGGTACCTTTAGGTGAGCTTGAACAATTTCAAAAAGGATTTTGATGGTGTTTTGGTGGATTTTAGTGGGGTGAAAAAATTGAAACATGACCATTTATGTCCATTTATAATGCAGTATGGGTGATATTTTGATAATTCAAAACAAAATAGTGGGGTGAAAACTTGACAAATGTTCTTGTATGCTGCAGTACGGATGATATTTTGATAATTCAAAGGATTTTGGTGGGGTGAAAATTTGAAACATGTCCATATATGTCTATTTATGCTGCAGTATGGGTGATATGTTGATAATTCAAAGGATTTTAGTGGGATGACAATTTGAAAAATGTCCATTTATGTCCATTTATGCTGCAATATGGGTGATATTTTGATAATTCAAACGAAAATTAGTGGGGGTGAAAAATTGAAAAAATGTCCATTTATGTCCATTTATGCTGCAGTATGCGTGATATGTTGATAATTCAAATGGGGAGAAAACACATGAGCACGAAATGGGGGCATATTCTAAGTGGAGTTGCGTTCGAGTTCAACTACATAATTGGAAAAACGCAGATTCTAAGTGAACGGGGTACCTTATAATTATAAAACTATATACATATATATATATATACATATAGATGGATTGATCAAACTTCTCTTGCAACTTTTGCCGTCCCCATATTTCTGTCAAAACAGCATTTCGTACTGGCAAAATAGCAGCAATGATCTTTGCAAACGCTGGGATGTTGATGGCCATCAACCCTTCGAGGGTGCTGCCATATTCGATGCATATTCCACCCGGATTGCCTCAAAGAAATTATGGAAGGGAAAAGGGATGGTTGGATGAGACAGGAACTTTAAGCCAAAACCATTCTGTAGCGCTTATAGATAGCGGATAGTTTGCAATTCGAACGTTTCTTTGAACTCATATCCGGAAAATGCATGAAAGTGCCGGCTTTGTAAGGGCTCACCCTTTCTTGAGAGGAAATTTCAAGGGAAAATTACATTTTTCAATCTTAAAGAAGATTTCTCCACTAAATATAATCTCAAAACATTGTGTTAGAAAAAGAGTCTATACTACAAGTACATAAAAGGCGTACCCAAGTCTCCAACAAGCACTGAAATTTCCATCCTTTACACAGGAGCCAATCTCCACCTTTAAGGGAAATTCTGAGGAGCTCCTGTTGCAATTCAAGGCAGCTTTCCCAAACACTGACCCTCTGATCCGGAACCCCTACCATTCCAGTCATGTGAATGCATAAGATACAACTCCGGAACTTTCGTACCAAGCCACGAAGCAAACCACGTTTGATTGCTTGATCGTTTTCAAAAGCACCCGTAGCAATTGCCAGTCGTGCTTCATATCAACTTGTGAGCCTGGCCGAAAGTGCTCAGGCTACAGAAGCCATGGGGCACTTCATTTAGCACGCAGATTTCCAAGACGTTCAGCAGTCTCGGTCATGAATGATGTGTACATAATGTCCGCCCTGCGTTTCCAGACTCCTCGACTCCCGCCATGTATATACATAATCATAAAAACGCTTGAGGCCGGGGGTGGATGACGAAAGCTAGCGGGGTAGGAGAAAGAAGGAAGGGAAGACGTAGCTTCAGTGTCAGCAGGGAAATGTCGGTGGCGTTTCCGCGTCAAACCTT